ATTATTCTAATATTTGATGGGATTTATCGAAGTACCTGTGGTCTAGATCAAATGAAGAAAGAAAAAGTCATGCCCAACATTTCACTCACTTCTCCAAAGTAATTGTTCAACATGGCATTTAAGCACAGTAGATTCCATAATTATTTAGTCATTTTCAACAAGGTCAATGTTTGTGACATCGTTCCTCTTAAGAGTATATAATATCGCAAAAATACTCCAAGATATCATCTCATGACGGTATTTATTCGTAATTAAGATTTTGGGGGCATGTTTGGAATATAAAAGTAAAAGTGAGTAATTTTATTTCGCGAATGTTTCATCTCACAAAACTAGGTGACAATACATTGTTGCGTATTTAGCATAAATATAATTATTATTAATTTTAAATATTTACAATTGTTCATGGCATACATGTAATAATTTTTCTCCACCTCTCCATTCCTGAAATATCGTTTGAAATAGTGTAGTTTTTTTTAAAGTTACAAGTCTTGATGAATTTACGTTGGAAATTATATATTATATTTATGATATAAAAATATTTCTTTCACCACATCTATAGATGATACCGCCATGGGCCCATCCGGGTCGATATCCTCGTGAAAGTAAGGGAAAAAAATTAGTTGTGATGACTGTGACGCAAATATATCCAGGAACTGCTGCAACAGACACGGCTTTTTCCCAGTTTTTAATGACTGTAAAAAATCCCAATGGATAACGTAAAGAAGTCTAACTAGTTACTTTGCGTTCTTTTGGGGCATTTCTTTGACACCTCTATGGGGAAACATGTGTTCCAGTCGCATTCTTTCCCGCTTTTTCCATTCGTTATATTTAGTACTATTCTTCTTCAGCCACTCTTCAGTATTATTTGGAACTTTCCCATGTCCACAAGAGGTTCTTTTCAGTTCTTGCTCTTCTCTCAAAGATGCTCGTCTTGTCTGATTAAATTCTCGCTCGTAACACAATGTCTTCTCTCGCAACAGATTTGACTGACCCTGGTTTTGCATCCTAGATTTCATAGCTCTATCCACACTCAGGGTATTGATGATAGGGGTACCTTTTGTTCCCGCAGTCCTTAGTTTTGTCTGGTACAAACTCATTGTTATTCTTGGAAATATAAAACGTAAAATAGAGTTGTATAAATGTAAAAATCCCGTGTTTGTAGTTCGCAGATTCACGCAATGATGTAACTCTCACTCTCACCAAAGCAGTATATATTCAAAACATGATCTTATCAAACAACTTTTAAATTTGACGCAAATCTTTTAGTAAAATAAACAAATTGTTGAGTCCATTTAAATTCCTAAAACAAAGATGACAGTAAATTAAGTTTTTGTGTCCACTTTAGACTTAACGATAAGTGTACATCGGCTGATAACGGCTAATACAGTGTGTTGTGTTCAAACTAAAAAATAATAGACAAATGAAATAAAACAAGACTAGATTCTTTATTATTTGAGATTTTCGTTAATAATACATGAATAGTGTATGTTTTTTGACGTCAGAATGATCTAAATAACAATTATCGTTTCTTTTTGACAGAGTTGAAATAAATCAAACGATGATAATAACATTTTTAATCAATAAATAAAATTTAACTTGTTGAAAATGTCATTATTTTATGCATGTACTCTAAACTTACCATGAAAGGAATTTGATGGTTATTTTCTATTGCCCATTAAAATATGTATATAAAAGGCTAGGACAAAGCTTTTCTCTCTTTTCTCAAATGAAGTAAAACAGTATGGACATTCTACTTTAATATTAGAGCACAGGCACCTGAATTTTTATCAATAAGTCGCTAATTAAGCCAAATATCGAAAAATTCTACCCCCTCTGTATATAAATACATATAGAGGCCCTTAGAGGGGGTAGAATTTTTCCATATTTGGCTTAATTAGCGACTTGTTGATAAAAATTCAGGTGCCTGTGATTAGAGTTGGCCATTAATTCGTTGCAAGGGACTTCCCATTTTCTCATTTTCCCTTTGAGGACTTTGACCGTTCAGCTTACTGACTGAATAAGTTTTGAAGTATATTCACAGCTGTCATACACAAATCTGATTAAAATCAAATCTTAGTTATACTCCGAAATTCTGATGGTCGGTGTACAAAGTAAGACTTTACAAAGTAAAGCGACCATCAGAATTTCGGAGCGTAACAAAAATCTGATATCAATCAGATTCGTCATCGTACACCTTCTAGGTAAAATCTAAACAAACGTGCTGTTTGAGAAGATCTACATAAACAATTCGGCGATATAAATACTCAATCATTAATTTTATCAATAAAAAGCAAAGATATATATTATTGATCTGACCCCTCTCTGGTTTTTGCTCAAGTCAACATTATCTTACTTGAAGTCTTATAGAATAGTATTTGTAGGTATAGTCATACGATGCAGTTTACTATGATGGTCAACAACATTAAATTGAACTTTGGATATTTTATATTACGAGGGGTGATCAAAAAGTTCTCGAACTAATTGAATACTCAGTAACTTCAATCAGAATTTCTTAAATAAACTCTTCAAAAAAAGAAACGCATAGTAGGAACAATGCCCTGAAAAATGCATGATAGTTTTGCCATACCTTTTATTTTTAGATGGATATGTTGTATTCGAGTGAAATGTGTGCTTTTTAATGCAATTGTTAGCTTTACAGCTATTCTACAAGTCTCATAGACAAAAAACCTGATTTTGCAAAATTTCCCCAAAAAGTTTTATCTCAATTTTCATTTATTAAATTCTGATGAATTCCTTCATGTACAAAGGGGGTATCAAAAGCGGAGGTTCTCGATATTTTGAATCTGGTTTCATCTGAAAATTCATCTGAATGTTGCGTAGCACAAAAAGGAAAATGGGCGACTGGAGCAGGGGACAATTGCAAGAGGTTTAAATGTTACACGCCATATCTAACCTATAAAACATAAACCATTAACATCAAGCACCCAATGTTCGCAAAAAATACGGCAGACCACGTGTGATATCAGCAGCACGGGATCACTTCAAATGATTACGTAAATTGTATGAATGTAACTCAATCTGGCTATCATCTGTGTCTGCGGGGGGCATACCAGATAGTGATCTTTAATTACCTTAAACTGACTGTGGTTTTAAATTCTTGAGTAATTATGACATTTAGATGGTATTCCTGTTGCTTACCACATTTCTGTTTTATCAATGCATCATTTTACTAAATAATCTTTATGTTCAATGTGTCACTAAAATTCTACTATGCGTTTCTTTTTTTGAAGAGTATATTTTGTTAAAACACATTCTGATTGTACACACAAGTACTCTGAAATTCACATGAAAAAGATGCTGGAGTTTCTGATTGATAATATCTTTGTTGTTTTTCAACTATCTATTGGAATTCCATGGGTACCAATTGCACCCCTTTATTAGCAGACCTATTTTTGTATTCAGATGAAGTAGAATTTTAGTCAAGATCTTATGCGCGAAAAGAAGAAAACACATGCTGTGGGCTTCAACTCGACATTTAGATATATTGACGACGTATTGTCAATTAACAGTGGTAATTTCCATTCTTATGTCGATACGTTATATCCTGGTGATCTTGAGATAAAGATACCACATAATCTGACACATCTGTTTCATATTTGGATATTTTACTTGAAAAAAAAATTGGTGTGGTAATCAAACAACCAAGCTCTATGATAAACGGGATGGCTTTAACTTTTCTTTCTCAAACTTCCCTTATTTACGCAGCAATATACCTTTATCACCTGCATACAGAGTCTATACATGTATATCTCAGTTGATTCGATACACAAGAGCATGCTCTACGTATGAACAATTTCTAAATCGAGGTAAATTATTGACAAACAAGTTGATGAAACAAGAATATAAGCAGACTCGTTTAAAGTCATCATTTCGTATATTCTGTGGTCGATTCAATGACCTTGTCAGCAAATACAATTTATAATTGAGTCAAATGCTGACTGACGTCTTTCATACTAATTGTTAGTCCATTATTTATTCACTGAATTGATGAAGGATTTTTCCATTATTTCCCCATCACAAGGAGTACAAGGAACATTCTGACAAGTCTTTTGTCTTCATAAACCGTGCACAAATTATCATATACAACTGCTAAAGGAATTTCCAAGACATACGAACAACTTTACAGCTGTTCATTGCTCGAGTACGACTTAGTCAACTATTTTTTGTCACAAGTGGTCTACATATTGACGTCATTTCCACATTGTGACGTTATAAACATGGAGCAAAACAACATTTCTTTACTATAGGATTAAACGTTCTTTTTTCAGAATTTATCGATGTGCAATTAATAAATAAACTTATAAATAAACTCATTGAATGTTGTTTTAAAAAATCTGATTATATACTTGACCATGGCCATGTTAACATTAACGACAACGCTCATAGCGAAAGTTGCAGAACGACGTCCTCGATTTGCTCTGGTTCGTAAGATTCTGTGGAGAATATGATCTGTGTCATGTAAATATATGAATTTAATCATTGAAAGCAAATGCTGAGGTACGTTTTTTTCATTACAACGATACCAACTTGTTACGTCCATTATTTCAGCGATTTTTAAAATTGCGATTGTGGTTTTGTAAATATAGTTTGTTCACCAACTTTTTATCACGCTTATAATCAAAACAAAATTTCCTTTTCTTTAAGAGAGCAATTTATTTAATCAAATCTTACACACTTAAAATCAGTTTGTTATGCAATTCTTAAAGGTGTTGTACACTTTTATGATAGTTAAATTATTTTTTGTTAGCATTTCTTACAGGTGTTCATCATCTTTTGTGATTGATAATAAGTTATCCTACATGGTTTTATATTCGTTACTCTTTGAAACTCATATTTTCCCTCACAAAGGACGCTGGATATGTTAAAAGTATTTCCTTTCAACGTTAGTGTTGAGTTACGTATCAGATAAAAAAAAAATAAATTGTAGTTTGAAACAATCCAAAATTGATCTCTGTATACCGTTTTGTGTTCAAACTCGATTTTTCTATTTGGTAAATATTTGAATAAAACAGATTTGATATAAAAATTTGCAAAATTCTATGTATGACAATATTTAAACAAATCACGGTACAATTAGTTCGAACCTTTTTCTTATTTTGATCTTATCATCATTTTAGTAGATTTCATGTTTTCACCATTTTCTCCCCAGAACAAACTCTTCCTGTCTCGTTTATTAGAAGTCTGGTATACACCATTGAGATCTGAGTATGCGCAATTGTTGAACCACCATCCCCCAGAGTGAGGACTGACAGCACAGTTGGTCAAAGATCTTTTGTCATTATCACGATCCTTTGTCGTAAAATACGAACCATTCAAATTATGAGCTTTAGTTATCAAGTCACCTGAAAGTAGTAAGACATTACTTATTATACAAAATATGAAGAAAATACTCTTTAGTTAAATAGGATAAAGAGATATAGAAAAATAGCCTTTTATGCGCCCGGATTGATAGATCCGGGGCGTATATTGTTTTGTCCTGTCTGTCTGTTTGTCTGTTTGTTTGTTTGTCTGTTTGTCTGTAAACTTTAACCTTCGCCATAACTTTTGAACCATGGAAGATAAAGACGTCATATTTGGTATGCATACTCCACTAATTAAGATCTTTTAAATGACACCAAGGTCAATGGCTTTGTGACCTTGACTGTGACCTATATGCTAAAAATAGCTTTTATCTGCAAACTTTAACCTTCGCCATAACTTTTGAACCATGTAAGATAGAGACTTCATATTTGATATGCGTACTCCACTAATTAAGATCTTTTAAATGACACCAAGGTCAATGACCTTGTTACCTTGACTGTGAATTTTATGCTAAAAATAGTATTTGGTATCCATACTTTACTAATGAATTTCTTTCAAATAACACCAAGGTCAATGACCTTGACTGTGACATACATGTATATGCTAAAAATAGCTTTTTTTTTTTTTTTTTTTTTTTTTTAGAATTTTGTTGCAGCCGGGCGCATAATGTTTCACAAACACATCTTGTTCTGATTATGATTATGAGTTTTTTTTTTCTGCAAACTGAGCTTTCAAAATGATATACGTATCCCTGCTCCTTTACAAAAAAGGAATACATGTACATGTATATATTTTGTGGTGGAAGGTTCTCTAGATCTTCCAGATTGTTTAAGAAAAAAAAAATAAGCTTTTCAAAAATACTTGACGTCAGATAACACCTCAGTAATTTTTCAAGAATAAAAATATGGAGCAAATGTTATTCTTCTCAGAAAAAAAAGGTTTATTCTAAAAATTGAAATGATAGGACGCAGTATTCAAATACTGAGTGTTATAGGGCAGTCTGACTCCATGAATAGAATTTTAAACCCACTTTACCATTTATCCTTAAATAGGGCACTTTATTTCTTCTGCGTTTTGGAAGATACTTTATTACTGTGACTTTTGATATTTTTCCCTTAAATGCTTAAAAAAATGTGTATATTAAATAAATTGTGAAAAAAAATTTAAAGGGAAAAATCAGTTGCAGTGCAATAACTACAAGGGGGCGTATATTATTTTTGTACTGTCTGTCTGTCTGTCTGCCTGTCTTTTTTATAATAATATCTGTTTGTCTGCAAACCTTAACCTTCAACATAACATTTTAACCATGAAAGATAAAGACTCCTTATTTGGTATACATAATTAAACTCTTTTAAACTCCCTTTACACCAAGAATATTGACCTTGTGACCTTAACTGTGACCTTTATACTAAAAAGAGTTTTTTGTCTGCAAACTTTAACCTTCACTATAACTTTTGAACCATGAAAGGTAGGGACATCATATTTGATTTGGACACTCCACTAATTAAGCTCTTTCAAATGACACCAATGTCAATTACCTGGTGACCTTGACTGTGACATATATGCTAAAAATAGCTTTTTTGAACCTTCATCATATCTTTTGAAGCATGAGAGATAGAGACTTCATAATTAGTATGCGTACTACTCCATTTATTAAGTTTTTTTAAAAATGAACCAAGGTTAATGACTTTGTGACTTTGACTGTGACCAATATGCTAAAAATTGCTTTTTTCGAACTTTTTTGCTTTGTTTTCTTAAAAATGACAAGATGTCCTCTAAATTATATGATACATTTTATCAATGATCTAGTTACCTGCGCTCCCACTGTATCCTACAACTGACAGTTGGTATTTGTCATTTTCACTTCCGACTGAGAAATTTGAATATCGTGCATACACCATTGAACCAGAGAATTTTTCCAAGTCTATCCAAAGTTCTTGATTTCTGTCAGCAGTAAGATCGTGGATTGCGTCATTTCCTACAAAAATTGCTAACATGTTTTATTTTGGACAAATATTGCTAATTAAAACATATGTTTTGTCTGAATGTACATGTACATGTATGTGAGATAAACAAGAAATACTGAGTCGTGTTTTCCTGTTCAAATACAGAATGATTTTCACATAAATATGGTATGAACTTTTGTAACGTTTTTTTTCTAGAGTCGTGAAGTAATTTGTGAGTTGATCTTTATGCCTTTCACTAATTTAAATCACTGTCTCATAACCACATAATTAATTATGTCTGTGTAATTTGCGAAGAATTTTTTTTAACTGTTCATGACTTGACCATATCTGCCGAATTCGTGTCGAAAATTCAGCCCCTCCAGCCTCCAATATCAATGTCTCATCATATGGGAAAAAACTCTTAAACAGACTTGAAGCAAACAAATGATACATTATTTACCGAGTAAATTCTTATTGTTGAATTACCCATCGTGTATATTACCTTAACAGTATTCTTTACTCTTGTGTATAGTACCTAACCAGTATTCTTTACTATCGTGTATATTACCTAACCAGTATTCTTTACTATCGTGTATATTACCTAACTGTTGTGTATATTACCTAACCAGTATTCTTTACTTTGTATATTACCTAACCAGTACTCTTTACTATCGTGTATATTACCTAACCAGTACTCTTTACTGGGATCCCCAAATCCTTCCTTGTAATCTTTCCATTCTCTTTTAAAATCTGTTGATCCATCATATCTTCTCTGTATTACCTGCAATATAAAACAGCGTGTTAATGTTTAACTACTACTTTATGGGATAATAAATACAAACATGAAAATAATATGTTCTATGAACATGGCATAAATCACGGACCTTTAGAAAATCCATAGATCGAGATTTCCTAGCCATTATTGATGAATCAAATTATTCGGCACAATCCCTAATATATACCTTAGAGAAAACATATCGACCTCGCACTTTGTGCTCGGTCGATATGCTTTCTCTAAGGTCTACATATCTAGGGATTGACCTCATCAAAATGCTATAATTGCATAATGTTGATATGAAATATGTGCAAATATGAAACATGAATTCCTTATAAATGCTATCAAAACATGATAACTATAATGATTGTTAAAACATTAATTATAATCATGCATAATAATTAACGAATTGTCTATTTTTATTATGACATTTTTGTATGTTGTTGATAATGGTCTATTTTGTTTTGATTTTTTAATAAATATTAACATTTTTATTTATATGGATTACCGTCCACCCCCCTCCGTTGGTGGTCATGTCACAGAAAACCTTCCGTGGAGTGTTACATCCCAGATAAATTGTGTATACACCGTTCTGGTTCCTTAAGCTATTGTTCTGCTTCAGAATCTCCTGACAATCTCTGTATCTTTTATCTAACAAAATGAAAATTGGGGTGAGATATGGTTGGATGTGTTATGCAGCAACATTTATATTATATCAACAGTGGCTAATTTACAAATAAAAATATATATTTGGTATCTTAATTCTTACAAACATAAAATATTTGTCGTTCTTTTTGATATCATCACTTTAAGAGGGGATAATGAAGATGACAAACTGGGATCGATTTAAAAAAATCTATGAAAATGACAAATCTTTAGACAGGGCATAACTCACAGATCCCATAAAATTCCATTATTCAGATTGGATGTAATATACTTTTATTAAACCATTTTCATTTCACACACATCAGAAATACGGCATACTAAAAATTGATTTGCACATGAAAATTGATGATAACGATGGGTTATCAAGCTCACACGTCCATTGAAAAATTAGAATTGGGAGCAGAGCAAATTCGGACCTCTGAATATATCACATATATAACATACAGTCACTTTAGTAAGAAGAAACACATAACTTCACAGAAGCATGTCTTATTATCATTGGCTATATGGGAATATACATGTATATTCGGCTTACGAATATATCATAGTTTTTATTTATTTTGGCATTATTAGGCTTAAAATTGAATATCGCTAAAAATTAATTGCTTTTTATTTGTAATAGCTTAATTAATGTGCATTTTAAAATCGCTAAATCAACATCTCGCTAAAAATAAATTACCAGTTTTTAGGGACAAATCGCTAAATTTACGTCTCGCTAAAATTTCCACTTTTACGGTATTTTTATTGACATTTTAAGAGAAAACTGGTTGTTTTAATATAATTGTTCAAAAACTGGTTGTAAAATATTAAAAAGAGACTTCAAATATCATAATGACAAAAAACGTTTCAAAACAATGACTTTAAGGTAATGATTGAAATTAAGCTTTTTTGACGAATTCCATACAGATAGCAGATTTGAAACAAAATTCAAAGTAGGCATCATATTCAAGTTGTTTCAATAAGAAAATGTAATTGTATACTATACAGGACAACTTAATCCCAGTTTTATTTGCGTTCCTTTCTGGTAAGGGAATTTAATGTTCATGTAATTTATTTTTTTAAATGACTGGGCGAATTCAAAACGTTGCAAAGTTGTGTGCAAATCTGAATGGGCGAAAATAACACGATGTAAAAATAATAAAACAGTATTTCGTAGAGATAAAGATAAGTTTTGCGAATATGTATTTATTTTCTCGTAAATGATTGATTTTGTATTGTTTAATGTCCCTCTCAAGAATTTTTCACTCATAATTAGACGCCACCCCTTGCCGGTGGAGAGCTTCAAATCTTGTCCTATACTCGTCACTCAGGACCATTAAGCAGGGAGGAATCTTTTTCGTGCCAGCACCTACTGCGACACGGGATCTTGGTTTTTAAATCTCTGTTTGATTGATTGCTTGATTGTATGTTGTTTAACGTCCCTCTCGAGAATTTTTCACTCATATGGAGACGCCACCACTTGCCAGTGGAGAGCTGCAAATTTTGTCCTCTGCTCGGCACTTAGGGCCATTGAGCAGTGAGGGATTTTTTTCGTACCAGCACCTACTGCGACACGGGATTTCGGTTTATGCGGTCTCATCCGAAGGACTGGTCTCCATGTCCCACAGTGGGATTCGAACCCGCAACGTAAGGATTGACTCCTTACTTCGCTACTCTAAAGCAGACGCTCTAACCACTGCGCCACGCGGGCGAACGGTCTCTGAAGAAAAGAGTAATGCTTATACATTGGGATACTTTTATAGATTAGCAATGATACGAATAATTTAATTTCCTTTTAGTTAGCTCTCTCATCAATAAAGTTAATAAATTTTTAATTTCAAAATTTGTCAAAAGATGCGACCAAAAAGTATCCTGAATATTCCCAATACTAGTAAAAGTACTCGAAGATGAAGGAATGTGGTTAAGTCCAACTAAAAAAGAACTGTTTCTTTTTTAACAAACTACCTGAAAATACATACAAAATGCTATGTTTTGCTTACCGAGTAAATCTGTTTTTACTCTCATATCCATAGCATCAGATTTCTTCTTGGTGTCAACAGAAATATTTTCAAGTTTTTCAAAACCTTTAGAGACCATTGCCAAGTTCATTGTAATATTATCAGATAGCTGTTCCAACTGTTCTCTTTGTAGACTCATTTCGTTGCTCATCTCCTCGACTTTTTCTACAAGCGTCTGTAACAATGAAGAGTTTCTCTCTCCTAGTGCTGGACGACCCTCCAAAAGAGCACGCCCTTTATCTTCTATTTTGTCCTGTGTTATAAAAAGGCGCTGTTTGAGTTTTTCGACGTCTTTGGTCAAAGCTATTCTGAGTAAAGACTCCTGGTTTAATAACTGTCTCACGATATCGATGTCCTTCATTTTTACCCCATTATTTTCAGTCAATGCAGAATGTGCATTTGTAAGAAAGCAAAATGAAATCATAATAATCAAAAGTTTATAATCCAGTGTGATCATTTTGTCTATTTTCTTTTGTCGTTGTATGTATCGATATTCTGTCTACAATGAATTCTAAAAAGAGAGGCACTCCTCTTTTATACTCACTGATTTCTTCGACAGATTTTAGCTAGCCTTCTTAAGGCATTATTTGTTACGTAAGCTGAATATCACAACTTGTTTTTGATTTGTTTTTATGAAATTTGCATTTTTATCTTTCTTTCAAACACATGAAATTGCAATAAATCGTACTACATGTGTAAAGGCAAATGTTTTTACGTGTGTTATCGGATTGAAAAAAAAAAACTTGCAAGAGCCTCTTATGTTAAAAAATGATAATAACGTTTTAAAGTTTGTAGCAGTTATTATTATAATTACAGTAATATTACTTGCTTAAAAACAGTTTGGATGGGAAGCAGAGCTGTAAGATTTAGTGGTTGGATATAAAAATGTGACTTTGTGCTCCGATTTTTTTAAAATGTTGATCATGAATGTTGTGTGGTAAAGAATGGCTCATTTGTCACACTACTATTTAAATCATGACACTGTCGTCATGGTTTAAATAGTAGTATGATAATAAGGTGAGCTTAACAACCCTTTCCATAAAAGATAGGGCAAAACTGGCATCTACTCGAACGCCGCTTTTTGTAACAAAATTCCAAAAATAAAATGCTCAGGCCGGTAGGATGACTTTAATTGCTTTCATTAACTGAAGCCTAAGTTCCTCAAATCTTTCATTATTTTGTCAGACAGGATAACCAGTATGGCTACAATTCAGTTAACTTTCTGTGTTTTTGTAATTGGAGAAACATGCCTGGATCAAGTTTTAAGTTTGAATGTAATTTAGTTTCTATTATATGAAAGGAATCTCGTTTGTTGCTTCATTTACATTCTTAACAAACGAAGCCTTCCTAAACAATGATCACTATCATCTTCAATTAACAAGATCTCAAAACAGAGAGAGAGAAAAAAATGTTTGAAAACCTTCAGAAGTAGTTAAAAAGCTGTAGTCTGAGCAATATAGAACTTAATTTTGTTCCAAGATTGTATAAACATGTATTAACTGTCTGTCTGTGCAATCGTGTTCAACCCATAACTTCGTAACAGAAAATATGTCTTACATTGGAGACTAAAATCGTATATGACCGATTTTGATTTTGAGACAATGTTATTTTAGTTAGTTCAATGTTACTTTTGAAAAAGTCTATGATTTATATCCAATCCACAACTTTTTGATAGAGTGATAACACATCATACGTATAACCCGAGGTTTTGTCATTTGAGCAAGTTCATTGTCACTTTTTAGAAAAAAAAAATAAAAAGGATTAAAGGAAACTCTATTCGACAAACGAAAATAAAAAATAAAATGACCTTCTTGCAGTATAAGGCATTTAAAAGTTAATTAATGTAAAATTAACATCGAAAATTAAACTTTGATAAATGTTCCTTCAGCAAGCTCCATAAACTTGGAACTGAAAGTGTTATCAGTGTTGGATATGCTTTTTCCAGAATTTTACGTGACCGTGACAAAAAAATTTTTTCCAAGGACGAGGGACCTAGGGCTAAACCTTTCCGTCCTCTTTTTTTTTTAAATTTAAGTCACAATAAATTGAAAGGACTGCTGTTGCCTGCTGCATGGTGTACTTTGAAATACTTAACGATGATAGTGTGATCTAATAGAGGTTGTACATGTAAAACAGTTAAAATATTGATTAACATTTGTACCTCTGCATCCTTTCAATCTCAATCCAGTACTTCATTAAATGATACAAAATGTACGCATGAGAGAAAGTTGACATACATAATGTATGGCTTTCTGTATAAGTACTTTTCTGAAGTATTATTTGAACACCTATGGTTGAAATGTATAAGGGATCCTTAAAGCCATATATGGCGTAACTGATCAAAAAAATATATTTTTGAAAATACAAAATTAAGTAAAGATATATAGTTAATACATTTAAATTAAAGCTTTTCATACAATTCTGAACGCAGAGAACACCTCCTTTCATCTAATAATACGATTTTATCTTCTCTGTAATGTGTTATTTAAATCTTTTGTATTTTCTTCCGACAGAAAATTCCACCAAATGAAATTGTGATATCTTTATAACGCAATTGACTTAGATTTCGTTATTTACGGAAAAGTTCTTTCTTTATATAAAGTAATGATACAAATAATAAGTTCTTATAATTTTAGTCTAATTATTTTCATTGTACATACGCCATATATGGCTTTAAGAATATGTAATTTATGTAACAAATACTTTGTTCATGAATTTCATGATGTAATGTAATGTCCATATTTTCGTCATTACATGTAAAACTTATTGAGAATATGCTCTCATATAAATATGAACGAGTTTGCAAAAATTATGCCCATCACAAATATTGACTCACTGTTAAAGCTGTCTTACATGTACTGTGCTAAAGAAGATATTGGCCTGCTTTCAGTAATTACTTTCTTATTTGACACTACTCTTCCTTACTTGATTTGTATTTTGTATATGATTATGTTCTTGAGAGTAAATAAACAAACGAAAGAGGGAAAACTTATCGGGAGTGTATTCATCAGAGTTCTATCAACTTGTTTAGCGCTTTACAGTACTGTCAGTGCTTTGATTACGTTTAGGATTTGGATTATTCCATTGAATTTCATATTTCCAAAAAAAAAAAAGGTTTGAAATTATAATTATATAAGTGAAGTAGTAGACAATAGTCTTTGAGGTCTTAAACCTTTTTAAAAAATCCTATTAAAAAAAAAGAAAATGTGCCTAGAAAAAGTATGCTTGTCTTTTTGAAAAAAAAATTTTTATTTACCCTGGTATTTCAAGGTGAATGATTGTTTTTTAAAAAATATGTCTATCTAATCAAGAGTTGAGCCTGGTATAGAAGTCGTGTTGAATACTCTAGTCAGTAAGTCTACACACGACCTCTACAGTAGGAAAGAACGTTTAGATACATGTATAATAGTATTTTAACTTGAAATGGTCACGTAAAGAGTATTTTGTATTTTTGTAATATACTGTTATAAATTAATGTATATTTGTACAGTATTAATCTTAATCAATAACTGCTTCCAGTTTGGCTTCTTTCAATACACTTTAATGATTTTTATGTGTGATTAACGTTTAATAACATTGAAACATGTACAAGTTCTTTAGATTTGAAGAAAAATACAAGGTGGTAGAATTTACAGTTTCTCTTTAACGACTCGTTGAAAGTTAAGTGTGCTTATTTCTCGATATTAACAATAGAATGTAAAGAACTACGAACTCTAACTCATGATTCCCGCCTACATTTTGCACCCATTAAATTCAATATTAATGGCAATTTGGCCATTAAATCTTTGTTTAATACGAAGAACAAATCTATGGTAATTGATTAATCATTTTAATTCCAGCACTAGATAGTAAATTATCATTAATTCAAGCTCTTGAAAAAAGGGGGGTAGACGATATTTTCTAGTGAAATGGAACTTTTAAGAATCACCATATTTTGAAATAGTCTTAAATATGATAAAATGTATCTCATATCTTTTCTTATGTTTTAAGCAAATAAATAAACATATATAAATTAATAAAATACAACTATTTAGTTGTAAATAGCTTTCAAATTGGTGAAAAATCAGCATTTTTTTTCGTTTTTTGTCTATAAACATATGCCCCCCCCCCCGTGAAACACAAAAAGCTTTGGCATAAATTTGTAAAATGACAGTCCATATTACCCGTAAAAAAGAATTTTTGTTTCACGGGGGGGGGGATGGTTTAAAAATATTTTCTGTTTTCCGTTGATTTCTATAGTGAAAAACACAAGTTTCACCAAAATTATAGAGTTATCTCTCTTTGGTATCCAGAATAAGTAACGTTTTATGAAAATTCATATAAATATCTATAAAATTTTTGAAAATCATTCGAATATGTTAACTTTTGAGAATTGACTTAGAGGAAGGCGGGAGAACAATACTATCGTTCGTAGTTCTTTATCCAATGAAAGGCGAAGTGCCTAATATGTGTGTACCTGTGGTGATGAGGTTGTATTTTATAAAATATCCTGATTATTATGATGGTCAAGGAGACGCAACTCTTTGTTCTTGGTCGTGATTTTTCAACTAAGTGTTACATTTAAAACTTAAGCAGAGGCATGAGATGCTTCGTCTAATAGATACAGGAAACATTAAAAAGTCTCCTTTTGACATACCTAATTTACTTTTGGAAGTAAATGCACGACAGAGAAACACAAAAGAAAGATTACTCTTCTATGGCTCATCAGAAAAGCATAGGCCACAGTTACATTTGTAAATGTTGAATTTATGAGGAAAGTTTGGTCGTTTAAGTTTTAGAATATTTCTGAAGTTGGTTTAATTCAGTTAACTGAACTATATCAGAGATATTAGATACAAAAATATGCAACTTTATAAGAGCATCTTAACTACTGTACATGTCTTTGTACAGAAATTCCGTTGCTCATCTCCATGCCGTGATCATTGACGTTGTCTATAAGCGTCTGTAACAATGAAAAGTGAAAAAAATTTACGAAATCAAATACCCAACTGTTCTATAAAGAAAAAATGCGCGTTTCTGTTGTTGCACCCCGTTTTGATAAAAGGTAATGTTTTGAGGATCTTAATATGAGAAAATAGGAGTTATAATCTTTTATACACATTGTCTGAATGATTCTTCAACGGGATTTTAGCTAAATTATATTAAAAATTTTCAATCTTTTTTCCAGCCTGATGAAAACCGTACAATTATTTCGTTATTTCTATAACAACAGGACTGGTAACAAACAGTATTCAAGCTAAAAAAAAAAAAATAATTTAACCAATACAAAATGTGAACTTTTGCAAATACATCCTGTTAAACATCAGAAATGGGGTCCATTGCCATGGAGGTGTAAGCATCCCCTGCCAATCGGCCACATTCTTCATGTGCTTCTTGTTGAATGAATTGAAGAAATGAACATTCCGTAGGCAAGTCGGTGTGTAAGTAACAAATATTATTATTATTTTCGTCAAAATTGATTTTATTGATACCTTGCCACTTCTTTTTCTTCAAACACCTTTCTTAAATATATTTGGACTAGCTAGTAATCCAAAGGACCGGTCTGAAAATGTTTAAATTAACTACAACAGCCTCGTTTAAAATCATTTCTTAAGTTCTATGGTCGATACAATGACCTTCTTTGTAAAACCGGATATTGTAGAACTTTAATGTAAACATGTACAAAACGAAGTCAGCAAGTACAATTTATCATTGAGTGAAATGCTCACTTACGTTTTTCATGCTAATTGTTAGTCAATTATTTTACACTGAATTGACTACCGATTTTCCCGTTATTTCCCGATCATAACAAGGAGCACACAGCAGATGTGACCGGTCGGCAGGGGATGCCCACTCTTCCATGGCACCCGATCACACCTCTGATGTTTTGGAGGTCCATGTTTGCTCTGATTCTATTATGTATTGTTTTATGGACTTTTGAGCTTGAATAATGTTCGTTATCTACGTATATTTCTTTGTAATAAGAGTAATTCATGTCCAAGTCTCATTTTAAGCTTTTAAGGACAAATAAGAAGGAAATAAAGAAAGTTTAAAAAAGCAACATATAGTTGGATCATTTAGGAGTTTCGGAAGAGTAACTATTCCAGAAAAGACAAAAAAAAAACTGTTAATCTTTCTTTACATTATATGGTTTCAAATGTCAAGAAAAATTTCTAAATTAATTACTATCCAAATGTCTCACGAAAACATACGATATATGTAAACTGTAAAGATATGTACAAATGTTAAGAACCCTATGAAATTTGTTCAGGGCAAAGACAATCGTATTTGTATTTAAAGTTCTTTGTAATAAGCCTTGTCATATTAAAATAATATTTGATGGGATTTATTGAAGAAAAAATAAGTACATGTGATTAAGATCAAATGAGGAAAGAAAACGTCATACCCAACATTTTACTCACATAAATCAATGGAAAAAGTCACAACATTCAGAGTCTAAAACACTTCATCATCATCTGCTTCAGAGTCGTCTCAAAAGCTATTGTTCAAAATGGCAAGTTCAATAGATTACTTGTTTAAACATCTTCCACAATGTCAATGTTTGAGATATCCTTCTTCTTTACAGTTTTATCGCAAAAAGACTCCAAGATGTCAACTCATGACGATAAGAACTCGTAATTAGGGTTTGCTATACATTATAAAAGTAAAGGAGAGTAACTCTATTTTGCGAGTGTTTCATCTCACAAAATTAGGTGACAATACATTACTTGCGTATAAAATCATCTATCCATGATACCTATTTTCTGGGTTTTTTTGGATATGTCGATATTCATTGAAATTAAGGAAAAATCTTCCTTAGTTATGATGAATGTAACGAAAATATATTCAGGAACTGCCGCAAGAGACAGAGCCTTTTCACGGTAATTTTAATGATCATAAAAATCTCATTGGATAACGTAAGCGTGAAGTAAACTAACTACGCCTAGTTACTTTGCGTTCTTTTGGGGCGTTTCTTTGACAACTCTATGGGGAAACATGTGTTCCAGCCGTTTTCTTTCCCGCTTTTTCCATTCGTCATATTTAGTACTATTCTTCTGCAGCCACTCTTCAGTATTATTTGGAACATTTCCACGTTCACACGAGGTTCTTTTCAGTTCTTTCTCTTCTCTCAAAGATGCTCGTCTGCTCTGATCAAATTCTCGCTCGTAACACAATGTCTTCTCTCGCAACAGATTTGACTGACCCTGGTTTTGCATCCTAGATTTCATAGCTCTATCCACACTCAGGGTATTGATGATAGGGGTACCTTTTGTTCCTGCGGTCCTTAGTTTTGTCTGGTACAAACTCATTGTTATTCTTGGAAATATTGGACGTAAAATAGAGTTGTATAAATGTAAAAATCCGTGCTTGTAATTCCCGATTCATGCAATGATGTAACTCTCACTCACACAGCAGCATATATTCAAAACATGATCTTATCAAACAATTTTTAAATTTGACGCAAATCTTTTAGTAAAATAAACAAATTGTTGAGTCCATTTAAATTCCTAAAACAAAGATGACAGTTAATTAAGTTTTCTCGTCCACTTAAGACTTGATGGCAAGTGTTACTCGGCTGATAACGGCTAAAACAGTGTGTCGTGTTCAAACTAAAAATTAAAGACAAATGAAATAAAACAGAACTAGATCCTATTATTAGAGATTTTCGTTAATAATAAACGCATAGTGAATGTCTCTGACGTCAGAAAGATCTAAATAACAATTATCGTTTCTTTTGACAGTGCTGAAATAAATCAAACAAGGATAATATTTCTAATTAATAAATTAAATTTAAATTGTTGAAAATGTCATTATTTTATGCATGTACTCTAAACTTATTATGATAGGGATTTAATTAATGTTTATTATCTATTGTCCATTTATAATATATATGTATATAAAAGGCTAGGACAAAGTTTTTCTCTCTTTTCTCAAATATAATAATATGGACATTCTACTTATTAGAGTTAGCCATTAATTCGCTGCAGGGGATTTCCCATTTTCTGATTTGGAGGACTTTGACCGTTCAGCTTACTGACTGAATAGTTTCGATGTACATTCATAACTTTCGTACACAAATCTTGACTATAATCAAATCTTTGTTATGCTCCGAAATTCTGATGGTCGATGTAAAAATTTAAAGTACAGTGACCATCAGAATTTCTGAGCGTAACAAAGAGCTGATATCAATCAGATTGGTCGTACACCTTCTAAGTAAAACCTACACAAATTCATTCGCGCTGTTTTAGAAGAAGATGTACACAAAAATTTGGCGATGTAAATAGTCAATCATTTATTATATAAATAAAAGTAAAGACAATATTCTTATTGCATTTAATTGATTTAAAATTGACTCCTCTCTAGTAACTTTCTGCTCAAGACAACTTTTTCTTAGATATTTATCATGAAACCATACAGATTTTTATTTGAAAACACTTTCATAGGTATAATCATATAATATATAATTATATGATAATTTATCGTACATGGTTTAATATTCGTAACTTATTGAAAACTTATATTTTCCTCCACAAGAGACGCTGGATATGTTAAAGTATTTCCTTTCAACACCATTGCTGGGTTATCAGATATAAACAAAAATATGTAGTTTGAAACAATCCAAAAATTATCTCTGTATCCCTTTTTGTGTTCAAACTCGATTGTTCTATTTTATAAATATTAAAAATTAATATTAAATATTAAAATAAAATAGATTTGATTTTGAAATTTGTAAAAATTCTATGTAATACATTTATTTAAACAGATCGCGGTGCAATTCGTTCGAACCTTCTTTTTATTTCGATCTTATCATCATTTTTGTAGATTTCATGTTTTCATTATTTTCTCCCCAGAACAAACTCTTCCTGTCTTTTTTATTAGAAGTCTGGTATACACCGTTGAGGTCTGAATGTGCACAGTTTTTGAACCACCATCCTCCAGTGTGAGCAGAGACAGCACAGTTGCCGCTATTTTTGTCGTTATCACGATCTTTTGTCGTAAAATGCATACCATTTAAACTATAAGCTGCTATCATCATGTCACCTACAATAGGAAGATATCATTTATAATACAAACTGTAATTACGATACAATATAATATTAAATGGGAAAGTTTTTTTTCTGATTTTGATGTACTGTGCGCACTGAACATTCTCGTATAACACTTTTACACGGTCTTAAAAATCTTGGAATATTTTTATGCTATATTAAACCATATTGATACTTGATTTACTTTTACCTAAAAACTTCTTTAAAATACTCGTATGTGAATTGAATTATCAAAAATCTTTTTAGAAAAAAAGAAAGAATTTACTGAAGTGTAATTATACCTGCATTTCCACTGTATCCGGCAATAGACAATTGATATTTGTCTTTCTCACTTCCGACTGAGAAACTTGAATATCGTGCGTACACCATTGAACCAGAGAATTTCCCTAAGTCTATCCAAAGTTCTTGATTTTTATCAGCAGTAAGATCATGGATTGCGTCATTTCCTGCAAAATGCTAACATGTTTTATTTTGTGCAAATACTATTTATTATTTTCTTTTTTTTTTTTTTTTTTTTTTGGCAAGAAAATGTATATATGATGGTCTCTAACGTCATAAAGCGGTGATATAGCATTTGCGGTTCAGAATAAATGTCATGATTTATGACACTAAGCGTTGCAACACCTGTATTTGTGTAGTTGTATCATTAAGCGGCGTTTTATTATTAATGGTTGCTATGTGTGTAGTTTTATGATTAAGCGGCGTTTTTTATTGGCGGTTGCTTCCTGGCCTCCTTAGCATCCCTCATAATTCAGAATTAATGTAGTCGTCCAGCATCCCTCATAGGTTAGAAACCTGTCATATGTTATTTAGTCGAGTCTTTCATTATCAAATATTCATAATCTTTAAGAATCGCCAAAATCCAACCCAGGGAAAGGATATTTTGTCAAAGTGTATGTGGAATCCAACAAGAAATATTGCGTTGTGTTTTCTTTTTTAAATACAGAGTGTTTTTTCACTCACTTTAAAACGTTTTGTTCTATGCAATTTTTATCGTTTTATAAATAGAGGGAGGGTCTATTATGTCTCAGTGATTTGGCAATGAAAATATTTCCACTGCCCATAGCTTGACAATGATAAATGTAAGTGCCGAATACAATTATCCTGCCTCCAATAGCAATTGGTAACGTCCAAACATGAGTAAAAAAAATCTAAAAACTTCCCATCGTGTATATTACCTAACCAGTATTCTTTACTATCGTGTATATTACCTAACCAGTACTCTTTACTATCGTGTATATTACCTAACCAGTACTCTTTACTATCGTGTATATTACCTAACCAGTATTCTTTACTGGGATCCCCGAATCCTTCCTTGTAATCTTTCCATTCTCTTTTAAAATCTGTTGATCCGTCATATCTTCTCTGTATTACCTGAAATAAATAACAGGGCGTTAATAATTTTAAAACTACTGATAAATGAGATTTTATAAAAAGGGGGGATCATGAATAATAATAGCTGCAATAATGTAGCCCTCTCCTTTTTTTTTTTTGGGGGGGGGGGGGGGCTACAACTCCTTAGGATATCCGTAATGGTGCAATGCGAGAGTGAATTACTCCCGCACGGATTTCGGCTCAAATCATCAGTAAACGGCTATTTTATTAACATCTCTTACCTGAACTCCATAAAAGTAATTATGCAAGACATAAATCGATCCAAAAATATTCACAACGACCTACATATCGGTTATTTTTCGTATATATCAACATCACAACTTGAATTTATCCGCCATGTTTACTGACCTTGATAGATTTTATTTCGGGACAGCCAATGAGAATTTAGAAGCGGATCTTTTAGGAATTCCCTTATTTTAAGCTTACATAATCGCTGTTTGCATAAAAATAACACTTGAAATGGTTTTTATTTATCGATATTTTTGTGATACATTTCAGCACAGTCGTTTATAAACATCGACATTTGCTTTATTAAGTTGTTCTAAATTTCAAGCGAATGTCTCAGTACGTCACGCGTGAACTGTCATGGCTGCTGCTGGTAAACATACAGATAAAGTTGTTTGTAAGAAGAATTTATTTTGCCTTCTATCGCCCGTATTTAAAAAATACTTTTGCACCATTACGGAGATGTGATGGAATTGTAGCCCTCTCTAGAAAACATCAGATAAAAAAAAATCGGAGAGGGTTACATTATTGCAGCTAGAATAATAAATGCACTGTATATATTTACTTTTATCTTTCCTTTCTCTTAATTATAAAAGCTTGAAACTGAATTAAAGCTTGAAACTGATAAAAAAAAACAAACAAACAGCTATTGATCTAAAATCTAAATGAAATACAAAGAATATGTTCTTTCTACATGGCATATATCATGGACCTTTGAAAAATCCAGTGAAAGAGAGTTCCCAGCTAATTTTGATAAATCCACATGACTGACTTAAATGTTCTATTCAATGCGAATATGAAACTGTTACATGATCTTTCCATAAATACTACATGTATCAAAGCCTGATATCTCTGATGGCTGTTGAAGCAATAATCATAATTAAGCATAATACTAGTAATTAACGATCGAATTGTCTATTTTTATCACGAGATTTGTGTAAATTGTTATTGATGATTGTTTTGTTCTTTTCAAATGAATAAATGATTTTATTTATAGTACCGTCCATCCTCCTCCATTGGTGGTCATGTCACAGAAAACCTTCCGAGGGGTGTTACATCCTAGATAAATTGTGTATACACCGTTCTGGTTCCTCAAACTTACGTTCTGCTTCAGAATCTCTTGACAATCTCTGTATCTTTTATCTAATCAAGAAGAAAGGATAACTACATCTGTAGCCTTCTCATCATTACCTGGTGGTTTAAGCGTAAACTAATAATTTATACTATATAAGTAAAGCTTTTACAAATATAAGTATCATAATTTATTAAACATTTATTAATTTTATTAAACAAGATTATTGCCAAGGCTTTATACAGAAAAGAAGAATTATGTATATTTTGTATCTACTTTCAGGTACAAAATAATACCTGAGCAGAGAGACGGCAAGAGGGATATGGTACATATCCAGTTTTATTAATTTTGACGTCGCGCACGATGTTGGTGTCAAAAGGTCAAAAATTAGTATTGCAGCGGCATTTGCCCTATTTTCATAATTTTAAAACAATTCACCATATGAAAACTATATATCATTCGGTCGGTAATTGTATACTTAATATATTTTAACAAAATTATTGTTAAAAAAACTCCATTTATCCAATGTATTAATTCGTTTATTCAGTCAATTACGTCAAAAAACGCATGTAGACCGGTAACAGGAGCGTCGCACATGCAATAACAAAATATTGATAACTTCCACAAAACAAACAATACAAACATAAAATTTGGCAGAAAAATTCAAAATATGATGTAAATGATGTAAATTTTAGCAATTGTGATGTAATTCAATCCGTATGTTCTGTACGCGTTTCTCAAAATCCAAGACAGAGGTGTAGACGCGCGTAAATCGACGTAATATGGTATACACATAAAAAGTCTTCGGTTACTTAGAAAAATAATTTAATGAGTTTAAACAATTTTGAAATTTCGTCACAATGATACTTTTTGTGTGCAAGGAAGTATATTTTAAATTAGTCTGATCGGTTGTGTGGATATGTATGTTGGGTTTCTGCTATTAAGCCGATTTATTTTGAATATATGGAATAAGATGGTGTGTCACAAAGTTTGGAGGTTCAATGTCACAAAGTTTTTAAGATTCGTAAAATCCCCAATTTTGTAATGCTGGGTGAAAAATTAATGCTGAAATTTATTTTAAATTCTACAAAATGTTGCCTTGTTATTAAGGATCTCTAGACAGAATTTTAACTTGCGGCATCTTAAATATTGATAATAATTGCCATGTCAGATATATGTATAACATGTAGCTATATGTCACAATTGAATTTAACGGCAAAAACGTCACATTTAAATGCTACACTCCATGAATTACTTTCATGTTAAGAATGAATTTTTCTAATTTGCTGCAAAACAACATTTATTACTAAATGTGCAAAATCAAAACTTTCCTTAGATATGAAAATGAATTGATTCTATAAAGAAGTATTGGATTTAGAGGGTTTTTACAAAGTCAACACTAAATGTCACACATTGCCCAAAAGTGATAAATCTAACTATAATTGTATAAATGTTGTGACATAAATCGTATGAGTAGTCATTAAAAATAGACATATTGAAAATTAGAGGATTTTTATGAAATGTGCATCTCTTCAAAAAGTTATTGATATATTCCAAATTAATTTCAATGGAATGGTGACAAATTCCTACCAAAAAATAAAAGTCAACATGTTATGTCACAGACGTAAAAATATGGCGTTTTGGCGTACGTTAACGTTCAATGCAAAAAATGTAATCTAAAACGTCAAAAGATTTTTTTTCTCTCCGAAATTTTACTCTTATTGCTAATGAGTCTGATATGGATAAAAGAAAACTATACCAATAATAATTAATTTTAAGAATAATTTTAAGTTTTGAAAGTTGTATTTATATATAAAAGCAAAACATGTACACTGTATACTATAGTATAGTACACTGTTTCAGTATATACATGTATCCTTATCAAAAATATGTACAATAGTACCATTCGAAGTTCGAATTAAGACACCAGAAAAAAAATCAATCAAACCAAAATTTATGTAAGTAGATGTGATTTCAAATTTGAATTACCTGACAGTAAAGTGTGTCAACTCTATATTTGATGCTGGCGTAAACTGTTCTTATACATGGCGAGTTTACATCGAATAGTCCTATATTGAATAAGGGTTAGGAGGTGTTGGAAGTTGTGATGTAGATAAAGTATCAGGTTTTCACTTCATAATTTGAAAATTAGTTCTTTTTGTCATTAACCCGGTAGCATCGTATGAAACAAAACAAAGTTGTATTTGATCATATTAAAAAAAAATAGGTGTTTACATTCGAAATTGACATTTTGAAAGAAGGTATGACGAGATCAAGTTTATTGTTTTATTTCTAGATCTTTTAATAAAAATATTTTTCATTAATATATTTGGTCATAAGCTAGTGACGTAGTATCGTTGTTGAAAGTGCGGGGGGAGGGGGGGGGGGGGTTTGCAGCCGGAGAAAAAAATTACTTACCGGGAAAAAGTTGTCAAGCCAAAAAAAGAGGAAAATTTGTTTGCCCAATCTCGAAAATCCTATTTCCTTTGGGGAAGGGGGGGGGGTTGAGGCGAACTTCTTTCAGTATAAAATTTTCTTTTCTTTATACAATTACTACATTACCCTTATATTACTTTACCTTTGCCCAAATTTGGGGGCCAACCAGCCTTTCAATGAACATTTTAATAGTAAAAGTTATGTTTTTAAAAAATTGGGAGGGGGGGGGGGGGGCACGCCCCATTGCTACGTGCCTCTAAACAATGTCCATCCTTTTTCATAATTTATTTAATAGTGATGTTTCATTTTTTCCTAACTTTTTCTAAATGCTTCTAAACTCATTTAAACCGACCAAAATGGTACTAAGTAACCATTAATTTAATTAAAATCTAGTTTATCTCCATATCCTTCATTTAGAAAAAGGAAAATGCCTCTATACAACCTTCTTAATCTGATTAAAATCTGACCCCGCCGTCACCAAAATTCTGCAACATCAACATCAATTAATTATTTTAATCTGAATCTTGATGAAAGCAAAACGCTCTTTGAATCACTCTTTACTTCCATTTACACTGTATAAGTATGAAAAAGGCATACAATCACAAAAGGCAGGTAAACTGCATTGATATCCAAAGGAGTATGAAACCTACGATCGCTGATCTGTGTGCTAGGCACATACGATGCAATGCATAAAAGAGGGGGGGGGGTGAAAAGGGGGAGAGGAGAAAACTGAAATATTTTTCGAATAGATACAACTGAAGCCTCTAAACTGCACTTCATCGAAAATTCTTTTCATGGACAAGTTAAAGTGAGGGAGGGGTCAATTCTCAGATTTGATTCCTTTCCTTTTTTTTTAAATTGAATTATTTGAAATATTTAGATCTACTGTTAGATACAGGTACTCAGTTTGTAAGTGTCTGATGGATGGTGGAAGTTAAAGATGGGATGAGAATAGGGACTTTAAACGAAAAAAAAAAATAAATTTCAGTGTTAAATCAGCAACATATCTACAATCATACAATTTACTGAAAACAAAGGACAGGTTCTAGCGCCTACTGATATGACATGGAATTGTTTTGAATTTATATCAATAAAATAAAACGCATGTAAATTTAAACTGCGATGTCGAACAAGTTTTATTATTCCTTCCAAGCTTTTTATTAAATGAAGCAAATTATGCCTATACATGTATTTCCTAAATTCCGCGATATGCTTGCAAAAGGGCAGAGAAATTAATTACATGCATGTATTTTCAATGAACTGCATTAAATAATTGGCGGCATTACTGGGTTTATTTTTTACTTTTTTTCATAAAAAAATGTAAGCAAAAAAGTAACGTCAAATTAATTTACTAGAACTTCACGTAAAATAACGTCATTTTGACGTTACCGAAAATGACACCAACACCGTACGCAACGTCTAGACAAATTCATTACAAATTAATTGTAAGGATAAATCATCTGTTTTACGATGGAAAAAAAAATTTCAACCAATAAACATTACAATCCATATTAACATGTATTTCATTGTTGTGAAAAACAAATGCTTATTTCACAATATTATACTTTCATGTAAATTACTTGAATCTGATTCGCCGAGAAACATTTATTAAAAACACTATTACCCGCTGAATAATGAAGCCACGCCCTCCTGCGTAGCAACAGTCAACATTGTTTGACGACAGGTGATATTCCAAAAAATAGTGACTGCGCAGAGTTTATGCGTGCACGTTTTACTGTTATATGTATTTGTATAAAACATTCAGTATAATATAATAAATATTGCATGTAGTTGAGTGTAACATTGAAAATTTTCACCCCTCGAAAACCATTGTCAACCGAGGCGCAGTCGAGGTTGACAATGGTTTTCTTGGGGTGAAAATTTTCAATGTTACACTCAACTACATGCAATATCTATATATTGTATTTCAGTCCTGTTTGAAGGACAACAACTTCTTATAATACCATATAAAGTACATTTATTATAGGGAAAAAATGTCTGTCCCATGATCATCAAATATAGATATCGATATATTTATTTAATATTGGTATGCAACTTTATTCACATACTATATGTAAGTCAGAGAGAAGTAGGATAATATGTTATTTACATAAAATTAATGGTATATCTTAATAAACGAACGTTAAAAGATACACATAGAGGATATACGAGGTCTTTCTTCAGTCAGATTCTTAATATCTTGAAAGGTGATATAAACTTTATAATGCTGTTGCTTTCTCATTTGACATCCTACATTCTTCATCGAATAACTTCAACAAACATGCTATAAAATATGTTAGTTTAGAAAGTTTCCATAACTTACCGAGTAAATTAGTTTGCTCTTTCACATCCATTGCACCAGATTTCTGCGTCTCTTTAACAGACACATTCTCAAGTCTTTCAATTCCATTTAGGAGTATCGCGGAGAGCTTTGTAAAATTATCATAAAATTGTGAAAACTGTTGCATCTGTAAAGAAATTTTGTTGTTTATTTCTTCAGTTGTTTGACCACTGACATTCCTAACTATTGTCTGTAATAGGGAAGCGTTAATGAAGTTGCTCTCTTGCAATACACGAGCTCTCGTTGTAGGGATGTTGACTTTGTCATCCTGTTTTGATAAAATGTGTTGTTTAAGTTTCTCGACGTCTTTAGTCAAAGTTATTCTTAATAAAGATTCCTGGTTCAATAATTGTCTTAGAATATCTATATCCTTGGTTTTTACCTCATTATCTTCAGTCAAAAGTGAATGTGCATCTGTAAGAAGGCAAGATGAAATCATAATAATCAAAAATTTATAGTCCACTCCGAACATATTGCCTTTCTTCTAATGAGTTGTATGCAAGGATATTTTGTCTACTATGAAATTTGAAATGCTTGGTACCCTTTTTAAATAATTCCTCAACAGACTTTTAGCTAGCCTTCAATAGCCTTCATAATATATCATTAGTTATGTAAGCTGAATTAAGTAAATCAGTTTTGTTTTCATTCAGAAACTTTTTGAATGTGTTCTCTCAAGCAATTTTATTTTTATTTTCTTGCAAATAATGAACATGTTTTATTAAACTTACTCCAAGACAAAAAGGATTGTGTTCAGTAGTATTTTTATCAAAATAAAAAATTAACATGCACGAGTCCAAAAATGAAAACAAACTATACGTTTGAAATCCTTAAAATAACTATTTATGAGTATCCCAGAAAAGATCTTGAAATTGATATTTAAACAAAAATGATTTTTCGTAATGAGATATTTTATGTTAGGGGAAAAGCAGAACTTTTAGAAGCGAGCAGAGTTAAAATACAGGGTGTCTACAAATTTTTAAATACTTTTTTGTTACTATAGTATTTTGACATACAGGCAGAAAGACAGACGGGCTGACTGACAGACAATTGGGATTTAATTTCCCCTCACTTTCGCGAAAGTGGGGGACAAAAAAGTCTTACATTTTGAGTTATCCATGGGTTACATTTTTTATCTCACCTGAGCCTTAAATTGTTCAAATCCTGACCCCGGTGGTAGGACGGGGCCACAATAGGGAATCCAAGTTTTACATAGAAATATATAAGAAAATCTTTTAAAATCTTCTTCTCGAGAACCACTAGGCCAGAAAAGACAAAACTCATCTGGGAGCATCCACAGGTAGTGTAGATTCAAATTTGTTCAAATTATGACCGCTGGGGATAGGATGGGGTCACATGGGGGGTCAAAGTTTAACATAGGAATACATAGGACAATTCTTTAAACATCTTCACAAGAACAGCAAAACCATGACTGGTCATAGTTATATGACATTATCCTCAGGTAGTGTAGATTCAAGTTTGTTCAAATCAAGACCCCAGGCAGGGACGTAGCAACAGCCACTTTTTCCCCCAACATAACCTTTACTATAGTAAATGGTCATTGAAAGGATGGTTGCCCCCCCCCCCCCCACTTTTTAGCCTAGTATAGTGATATCAAGGATTTGTAGGAAAAAATTGGAAGTGAAAGTAACTTGGCATTGAAAAAGTTGGTCACTTTTTTGCTTGTCAACTTCTTCAGGTAAGTTAAAAAAAATTTCTCTGGTTGCCCCCCCCCCCCCCACTTTCAAAAATGATGCTACGTGCCTGCCAGGGGGTTGGGAGGAGCCACAATAAAGATCATAGTTTAACATAGGAATACATAGGAAAAATCTTTAAAAGTCTTCTTCTCAAGAACCACCGGAACAGAAAAGATGAAACTCATGTGGAAGCACCTTCAGGTAGTGTAGATTCAATTTTGATCAAATCTTAACCCCGGTGGGTTGGGTTGGGCCACAATGAGGGATCAAAGTTAAACATAGGACTACATAGGAAAAATCTGTAAAAGTCTTCTTCTCAAGAACAGCAAAGCCATGACTGGTCACAATTTAATGAAATTATCCTCAGGTACTGTAGATTCAAGTTTGTTCAAATCAAGACCCCAGGGGGTTGGGTGGGGCCACAATAGGGGATCAAAGGAATACATATTAAAAATCTTCTTCTCAAGAACAGCAAATCCATGATTGGTCATAGTTATACTGAGGCATTCTTTTGTAGTGTAGATTCAAATTTGTCAAAATCATGACCCCTGGGGCAAGGGTGGGGCCATAATGGGTGATCAAATTTTTAAGAAGTATTACATAAAAAAAAACTTTGAAATTCTTCTTGAGAACAACAAAAGTGATTGTTCGTATTTACATGGAAGCATTCTTTGGTAGTGTAGATACAAATTTGTTCAAATTATGATCCCTGGGATAGAAGGGGACCACAATGGGTGATCAAGACTTATGTAGGAATATGTAGGAAAAATTGTTAAAATTCTTCACAAGAACATCAAAGCCATGATTGATCATCAATATAAAAGCATCAAAAAGGTAATGTAGATTTAAATTTGTTCAAATCATGACCAACCAGGAGAATAGAGGAGCCATTAAAGTGGGACATAGTTATACAAAGGAATATATAGGTTATATCAATCAAAATTTTCATCTTATTAACAGCAAAGCTATTATGTATCATAATAGGAAGTAGTAGGAAGTATAGATTTACATGTAAGTTGGTTCAAATACCCCTCCCCCTCTCTCTCCTGAACCCACCTTTATATTTAAACTTTTCAATACTGAACTGATTTTGGCTTTTATCTAGCCAGTTACTCATGTGAGCGATGTGGCTCTGGGCCTCTTGTTATACCCCCCGCTTGAAAAGCGGGAGGGTATATAGTAATCGTTAATTCCGTCCGTCCGTCTGTCCGTCCGTCCGTCTGTTACGCTTTAGGGTACCCATCTCTTATCCGCAACTCCTCTCATACCGCTGAATGAATTTTGATGAAACTTTCATAGAATCTTTATTACATATTGCCATTGTGCACCTCCTGTTTTACTTTTTGATCCGACACATATTTTGGGTTTCCCGGCCACAGGAAAACATGGACTTTTTCACCAGTTATAACCATGTGGGAGGCGGGGGGTATTATTTAGTGAGCTCATCGCTCACAATACCTCTAGTTTTATTATACCCCCCGCTTGAAAAGCGGGAGGGTATATAGTAATCGGTATTTCCGTCCGTCCGTCCGTCCGTCTGTACGTCCGTCCGTCTGTCCGTCCGTCTGTTACGCTTTGGGGTACCCATCTCTTATCCGCAACTCCTCTCATACCACTGAATGAAATTTGATAAAACTTTCACAGAATCTTTATTACAAATTGCCATTGTGCACCTCCTATTTTACTTTTTGATCCGACACATATTTTGGGTTTCCCGGCCACAGGAAAACATGGACTTTTTTACCAGTTAAAACCATATGGGAAGCGGGGGGTATCATTTAGTGAGCTCATCGCTCACACTACCTCTAGTTTTATTTCGGATGTAAGAAAAGAGAAACAATTGTGTCCTATTTATTTCCGTATATTTAAAGCCAAAGAAGGATAAAAACTAATTGGAAGGAATTTAAATTCTGAGGTTTCTTTTGTGACCTAAAGAAACCAATAAGTTGATATTACAACTATTATTTATCTATATTTTTTTTAAAACAGATATTAAATTAACTATATATATCTAATTAAAGACATGTTTTCGCTAGCTTGAATGATCTGTTCCATTATTCTTGAACTTAATTACGATTATTGCAGTTTTCAAATGTTTATGAATTCTTCAGCATTGCAACAACAAAAAATCTTATTACATTCATATACTAGTATATATTAATCGATTCTGAGAATTACAAAGTGCTCCAGTTTCCACGATCCCCATCGCATTAAATCAACAAGCAAGTCATACAGAAGAAAAAAAAGACGTTTGTTAGTATGCTCTGGGATGAATGCTTATTTATCCAAAGAACATGGCCAACTTGGCTTACTAAAGTGATCCATTTATAAAATCTACCAACACAGAAAGATATGTTTATGAAATTTACATACACAACGGATTCGTTAAAGATAAACACTGTAAAAAGGAATTTGTGAATAAAACTTTGCAATAAGAAGTCCATGGGCCACAATGCTCACCGTAGTCAATTTGGCCTTATTATTCTTAATTAATAGATGAAAAAACATTACATTGCTTCAAAAATAATATGATCAACATAGCCATCCTGTTCCGTGGGAAATTTTTTTCTGTATACAAGCAATCGCCTAATGTGGCCACGCCCTTATCGGGGGGGGGGGGGTTCAGGATCTTAATATACTTTCCTCTACTTAACCTGGGGATTCTTAATAGCTTGATATTCAAGTTTCTGTTTATATTTTACACTGTATCTGTATAAATAACACTGTTAAATAAGGAGACATAAAATTATAGCTTAGGAGATTCTAATAAGAATACATGTCATTTTTCTTTTCTGGCATTTGCTGAATAACACTGAATTCAAAACCTTAATGAAAATAAACAGTTCTCAAATCAGGAAACAAAAGTTTGAAAACCTCATGAATGACGACAACGTGTTTGTAATCTGTTCTTAAGATCACTTCTTAAGCTCTGCTTCTGATCATCATTCTGGTTGTCTTCATGTTTTCAAAGTCTATTCCCCAAAACAGACCATTGTAGGCTTTAACATTTGAAGATTTATAGATCCCATTAAGTCCAGAGTAGGCACACTGGTTGTTCCACCACCCATTACTATTAACCACTGCACAGTTCCAGTGAACGTCCATGTCATGGTCACGATCCCTCGTTGTGAAAGACATCCCATTCAGGTTATGTGGTTTTATCATCATGTCTCCTGTAAATTAAAGTGAAGAAAACTTTAAAAGACAACACAGTATTGTAATTTCTAGAGCAGAAAAAAAACAAACCCAGATTTTTTTTTATTTGAAATTTATTTTTTATATTCTAATATCGAAGGCAGCATGCCTTTAGTCTTCTTGAAATGAGTGAAGTCGATAGACATTTTCAATTTTTTCCCTTTTCCTTCGTTTTTACGGTTTAAAAGTACCTGCATTTCCGCTGTATCCGCTGATTGAAAGTCTGTAGTTGTCAGATTCACTGCTATCGAAACAAGCAAATTCAAAGAATTGTGGTCCCCCGCTTTCGGTGTCTTTGTTGGTGAGATGTTATTTTTTATGACATATTGTGTCTAATATGAACATCCTATCATATGTCATTTCATAGAAATTATCATTAAAGTTGATTTTTTTGAAAGATGAAAACCCTTATCCTGACCGTTAAAAAGTTATGGCCAAAGTTAACGTTTTTTAAAAGTAGGTCAACTCCAAGGTCAAGATCAAAGGGTCAAAGTTATTGATGAAATGTTTTCTCACAAGGATTACATATGTGAAGCATGAAAGCCCTAGCCCTTACCGTTCAAAAGTTGTGGTCAAGGTTAAATCTTTTACATAAGTACGTAAATCTTTAAGGTCAAGGTCAAAAGGTCAAAGTTGTTGATATCCAATGAAAGGACTTG